TCGGACAGTGTCTGCCTCTAGTACAAGGAAACAAATGTCACCCCGACATTTCCCATGTCCTCAGGGGGCCCCAGTGAGCCCCAGTGGTTGCACTTAACATTTAAGGAACCCTACACAAACTCTGTCACACCTGGTTGTTAAATCTCTACACCACAGAGGAGGAGAAGCGCTGGACAGTTAAATCACCAAGTGTACTTACCAGCTGCTTAGTGCTGTTTTTAATGTATTGATTTTAGAGAGCGAGGAAGGGAGAGACAGAGAGAGACAGACATCGGTTTGCTGGTCCGCATATTTATGCATCATTAGTTGATTCCTACATGCTCCCTGACTGGGGATCAAACCCACAGCCTTGGCGTAGCGGGACGACGCTCTAACCAACTGAGCCACACAGCCAGGGCTGCAAATCCAAGGTTTTAAACGCATGTGGAATGAAAGGGAATGAGGCTAACTGCTCAACAGCAACAGCCCACACAGAGAAAACTATTTCAAGTGACTTTATAACCTGTTCCTTTGATTGTCCTTTATTAGTGGGATCTGTTTTAAAGATAAAATAACTGCAGAGAAATCTTAACTTCTCACTGAGCGGTTTTCTGTTCCTAAGGACACCGGTGTTGTTATCTGAAGGCGCCCAGGTGCACAATGAGATACAAAGGAAGAAGTAATTGTGCCGATGGTGTCAGGAGTCAGATTTCAAATGTAGGAGAAAGGAGATACAAGGACAGAGTGCACGTTTAAAAGAGGAAAAGAAAAACTGTATACGAAATGTAACTAAGCAGTACATCAAGTCGTGATTTAAAAACCTTGCCCTGTTCACTGCAAGGTCTAGTAGCCACGTTACCCCTCCCCCCGGAACACTCCTTCCTCTCTCCCTTTCGGTTCCTTAACACCCTTCCCTCTCGAAGGAGCAGGGCCACTGGAGAAAAAGCGGTTGGAGATCTGGGTCGGGAGAAGTAAGCAGGGCCGGGCACGGCCGCGTCGGGAATCAAGGGGGCGTCCCAAGGCAGGCAACGCCAGGTGGAAGGGACATGGCCACCAGCTCCAGGTGTCCCAACACCCCAGCTGTGGATGATATACGCCTCACAGAAATCACTGTAATTTGTGGAAACATTAAAACTATAAAACTTCCTCAGTCCATATGATACTCAGAAGAGAAATCCAACAGAGCAAAAATACTGTTTCCCATTAAGACAACTTTCAGCCACACCTTTCTTTTAAAAATCAATTAGTAAAGAGGTGAGAATCATGTGTATTTTTCTTCTTTTTAAGACAAATTATAGTTTAGAAAAACTAAGTAAATCCAGTGGATGACAGAAAGCTCTGTGGCTGTGGTTTTTGAAAAATGATAGTTAATGAGCGTTGAAGGAATGGCAGACCTGAAAAATGTCCACTTATGCAAGTTCCAGCAGAGTTATGGACCATCACGGAAAATAAAACCAGTAACAATTTTTACCTGGGGAAATCTTGCCGGGGAAACTGAGTTCCTTACTCTATCCGAGCATCATGGCAGGATGAGTTCCTACACGGATGAGTTCCTACTCAGCCTGAAGTCAAGGCGTCGGCCACTGCATGTCGAGGGAGCCTCTCCCAAAATTGTGGACAAAACTTGGTTCCTTGTGGGTGTAGGACTGAAGTTCCTGCTTCCTCACTGTCTGTCTGCCGAGGGACTCTCAGCCCCCAGAGACTCCTACCATTGCTGCTGTGTGAATGATAATAAATTCAATTTGGGGGTGTGTTGAGTTGGAGAGGAAGACCTCCAAATAGATGATAAAAATTGAAAAATCATTAGTTAATGCAGGAATTCTCAACTGGACAGCAGTTATCCAGCCCAGTGTGTCCATAGTGCCAAGGCTGAGCCCGGGGTTACTGGCTGGTCATTAAAGCCACAACAGCAAAGAGAAGACCGGGAGCGGAGCCCCAAGAGGAAGGTAACCGGCCCAGGGCCCGAAAAGATGCCCAGAGGTGAACAGCAAAGCAAGCAGAGAATGGGGGCTCCTTCTGGAAGGTGTGGAGCAAAATGAGGAGTAAAGAGACCACTGGGTTTAGAGTGACAGAGGCTGCTGAGCGAGCGCTGTGCCTGAGCGGTTCTGGGGGGTCTGTCCGGGCTGAGCAAGGACTGTGGTCTGCAATGGGGAGGACAGAGCAAAAGCCGGCAGAGGCACCCCTTGTAGAAGCTGGGCTGCCCAGGAGAAGCAGAGGGGTGGGGCAACATCGCAAGAGAAGTTCCTGGACATGAAGAGACCTGAGACCTGGAAATGCCCAGGGGTGGGGTGGGGGAGGGGCGGAAGGGGGTGGGAACAGAAAAGTTCCCACCCCCTAGGGAACAAGAACTTAGGAGCACAGCCCCTCCCTCATGTCTGGGGAGTGCCAGAGAGCACCCCCTGAGTGATGCCCCTCCGGCAACAGCCCTGTGCTACGCAGAAAAGAGACTGACTTACGGAGGAAGGGACAGCCCCCCACAGGCACCAGCAGGAAGGGAGACAGGAGTGGGTGCCGCTGCAGGCAGGCCTGGGAGTCAGTAGAGGAAAGTAGGGGGGGGGGGGACATGTACCCCCAGCGGAGGCGGAGCTGCCACTTCTGAGAGCACAGGAAAAGGGGACAGGTTTGAAGAACAAACCCCTCAGAAAGCTGGGGCAGACCCAGGGCCCAGGAAGCTGGGTACTCTGCCTTGTCCCGTCTTCCCCAGAGGGCTATTTTTTTCCTCTTGGAAAAATCCCCATCAGAGATCCATCCAGGCATTAAAACAGCCTCCCCATGTGACCGTTCTCCGTCCCCGGGCGCACACTTCCTAGTCCAATCTGCGGAGAGGTGAGGACATTATTACGGTCAAGGTGGAAGATGGACCTCGGGCTGTGGTTAAAACATAGACGTTCCCACGCAGCACAAACTGGGATGATCTCCATAACGTAAGATCGGGGGCACCAAGTGCAGGAGGGGTCCTCTGATTTTCTTAGAGGTTCTGAACCGTGCACGCGTCACCGTGTCAACAGCAAGAAGAGCCATGAACACTGCAGGGGCTGGAAAGGCCCATCCCCTTCCTTCGTCCCTTCACACTGCAGGGGACGACCGAGCTGCTGGTTAAAATCCATGTCTCTGGCTGTACTGCTGCAGCAGAGCAGGCAGCGGTAGGCGAAGTCAGTCCTTTCTCCCAGATCACTGGTCTCTCTACCCGGAAAAGTCTCCTCCCCCCCAAGGCCCGCACTACAGGTCCTCCCAGCAGTCGCCCATCAGCACTGGAAGGGGAGGTGGCCCGCATGGGCTCGGCCCGCTGGCGAGCCCGCCCTCCGAGTCTCCACTCCCCTTCTCCAGTATCCTGGTCGGGTCAAGGTGCAGCTGTGTGGCACCTGTGACGGCCGGTCCTCATAGAGCATGTTTCTGGGAGGCTGCCCGCTCACAGCGGTCACCTGCAGAGGGGAAGGGTGTGCACGGACACCCACTCACGCCCAGCGTGCCCCCCACACGTGAACACCTCGGAGTCAAGCTGGCGACCCCGTCTGCTGGTGAAAGGTGCTCTGTCAGAGATGCAGTTCCCTGGAGTCTCGTCCCATCCACAGGGACGCCATGCGTTCACAACCATGAGGACAGTGGACAGCGCTACCCTGGGAGGCAGATGGCTCTGGCCACTGCTTTTGATAGAAAATGCAGAGAGGGCACCCCCAAAAAAGGAAGGAAGGAAGGAGGGAAGGAAGGAAGGAGGGAGGGAGGGAGGGAAGGAAGGAAGGAAGGAAGGAAGGAAGGAAGGAAGGAAGGAAGGAAGGAAGGAAGGAAGGAAGGAAGGAAGGAAGGAAGGAAGGAGAAAGAGAAGAGAAACCCAGAAAGTGTTTCTCATCCTGGGCAGTCCCACCCCACCCCTCCCCCGCCCACACACACTGTCCCTGCAGTGGCCTCTCAGGGGAACTGGCTTCTGAAAGGCCCTGGAGTCCCACAACTGCACCCCTTTGACTACAGTGAGAAATCTGTGGGGAGGAGCAAAGCAGGGGTAGCGGCTGAAGGGCCCACCCCAGGAACCAACGGGGCCTTTCCCTCCTGGACCAGCCTCCCTGGTTTCTACCCTCCAGCAGCCGCCACTTTCTAAACAGCTGTTTCTCCCACGAGGACAGGCCACGTTGCAATGGAGGGACCTCCCTTCTGCCCTCTGGTGGGTCAGCAGCTCCTTCATCCCAGAGCCCAGGTTTCTCATTCCACCCAACCCTTAGTCTCAACCCACGTCCCCTTCTCCCCAATGCCCGAAGTGGAGAGCAGCAGGAAAATGGGAACTTTTGTTCTTTTTCTAATGAATTGGAATGTATTCTGAGGATCCACAGAGCTGGGAAATATTTAGGAGGGCCCCTGGCCCAAGGCCACTGAGCAGAGAGCCAGGCTGGTCCCTGGGCTCCTGGGGCTTCAGAGTAGCTGAGGTTTGTCTGGAAGGCTGGGGTGTCTCGAGCTTCCAGTACCTCGACCCTTACCAGGGTGTGGCTGGCCTTCACACGTGTATCATGGGTGGACTCCATGTGACTCCAGTGCCTGTCTTCACCCACCCAAGGTCCGCTGTGAGCCCTCTTGTCTCTCTTCCTGCCACGCCGTCCCTCCTGGTGGCCCTAGCCCCACGACCCACGTGGGCATCACCTCGACTTCTTGCCCAGCACCGCCACCCTCCTGGGCAGGTCCTCAGGGGCACAGTCCCCCACGGGAGAGCAGTAGGGCCACACCTTGGACTTTGGGAGTTGTGGTACCCGCTGGAGGGCCTGGGGCAACCAGAGCTGTGGGGTTGAAGAGGCGGGATCCGTGGGACCCCTAGGGGTGCCGTGGCAAAAATGTAGAGGATGCGGGGCTTGCTGCACAGGAGGCCCCAGATTGGGGAGATACTGGGGCAGCCAGAAGCTCCTTGGGACTAGGGCGGAGCGGAAAGCTGACCCCGGGGCGGGGTCGTAGACGTCACTCTGGCAAGGCCAGTGTGGGAGGAGGCTGCACTCTGACTCACCTGGGGCTCGACCATGACGGCTTTTAAAGGGCGGCAGGCGGGCCGCTGGGCCGCACTGAGAGCTGCCAGCGGCTGCGGCGGATGGAGCGCCCATGAGTTTCGGGGCAGAGCCACCTGGCCGGGCCCGGGAGCGGCTGGACATGGCCTCGTACTGCGACGGCTCGGGTGTCTGCCCGGCCCCGCACAGCCAGGCCCGGGCAGCCTCGCACCCCGCAGGCTACGTGCGCAGTGACCTAGAAACGACGGGCGGCGGCCCGCGCCTGTGGTTGAACGCCCCGGGACTCAGCCCCGCGCCCTTTGCGCCGGGCCCTGGGCATTCGTCCCCCTACGCGCCCCCGGGCTATGCGGCCCCGGGCCCGCTCCTTGGCGCCACGGGCGGCCTGGCGGGGGCAGACCTGGCCTGGCTGAGCATCTCGGGGCAGCAGGAGCTGCTGAGGCTAGTGCGTCCTCCCTACTCCTACTCTGCGCTCATCGCCATGGCCATCCAGAGCGCGCCGCTGCGGAAGTTGACGCTCAGCCAGATCTACCAGTACGTGGCCGGCAACTTCCCCTTCTACAAGCGCAGCAAGGCGGGCTGGCAGAACTCCATCCGCCACAACCTGTCGCTCAACGACTGCTTCAAGAAGGTGCCCCGCGACGAGAACGACCCAGGTAATGGGGGCGCGCAGATCCCCAGTCTGACTCCGCGGATTCCCACAGCCGGGCAGCTGGTCCTGGAGGGACAGGGGCAGCCTTGGACTGCCCAGCCCTGGACTGTACAGCTGGGGTCACTGAGGCGGGGAGGGGCGGGGGCGGGAAGACACTCTTGGCGGCAGAGGGCCCGCAGAAGACAACAGAACCCCACAGACCCTGATTTCTATCCGGTTCGTCGCCGTCTCTGAGTGTCTTCACGTAGCCGTCACCCAGCCAGCTGGGAGACCTTCAGAGGGACTTCGCTGGGCCTCAGGGTCCTCTCTGTAAAAGGGGGCAGACAGTGCCTCCCCCAAGGACCAGTCGGACAAAGCAGGTGCCGCTTTGGGAAGCGAGACCAACTCTTTCCCACCTGGCTGTGCTTGGAGACCCCTTCATTCCAGTACAAAGTGACCCCCCCCACAAGGTTTGGGGAGGGGGAGGGCTCAAGGTGGGGCCAGCGGGGGAATCTTTCTAAAGTTGATCCTCATGTCTCCTGTTCGCACCATGGCCCCTAAAACCCCGGATCTTCTGAGCTGGGCTGTCCCTTCTTCTGCAGGCAAAGGCAACTACTGGACCCTGGACCCTAACTGTGAGAAGATGTTCGACAACGGGAACTTCCGAAGGAAGAGGAAGAGGAGAGGGGAGGCGGGCGCGGCCGCAGTCTCGGGAGCCCAGAGCCCTGGCGGAGCCCCGGCGCCTGAGCTGGATGCCCTGGGCGCAGGGTCCCCGGACCTGCGGGCCTCGCCATCCCCGCCGGCGCCCGAGTCTGCCTCCTGCTTCTCCAGTTTCGCCTCGGCCATGGGCGCCCTGGCTGGCGGCCTTGGCTCCTTCCACGGGGGGCTGGCGGGCGACTTTTCTTTTGGGAGACCAGCGACCGTGGCTGCTAACGGTCGCCCATCCCCTGGCCCTTCGCCTGGCTTCCCCACTGGTCATCAGACTGCGGCCAGCGGCTTCCGTGTGGGTCACTTTGTGTACAGCCGGGAAGGGACTGAAGTTTGAAGGGAGCCCGTGGAGCACCGAGTGTCCGCTCCAGAGGTGCTGCGCTGAAGGAAGTGCAGGTCCTCCCCTGACAAAGGCCCCCGGAGCCAACAGGTCCGGACCGGCGGGGAGGGAGCAGGGCCCTCAGAGCCCCAGTGCGGACTGAGCTGACCTAGCCCGGCACTCACCTGCCCCGCACCCAGGAGACCTGTTGGTGCAGCAAGTGGGCTCTCCCGCTGACTCCTCCCAGCTTTTCAGCTCTCTGGCCGGAGATCCACACTCCCCCAGGGTGGGGGTAGGGGGGGGGTCTGCCTTAAAGGGACCAGAGCTGGCTCTTGGCCCCAGCTTTTTTAGGGAGCTGGGGGATCCCAAAGAGCCTTCTTCTTCCTGCTGGTGGGAGGGCAGCCAGGACCCTGTCTGCAGAGATTCCTGGCTCCGGCCCTGCCTGGCCACCCTCCTTCCCTCCCCACCCGGGATGCCTGGGAGCTGTGTCGAGGGAGATCTGGCATTGGTGGGCCTGAGCCACACTTCAGACGGACTTTCCAATGGCCGGAACTGCCCACAGGGGTGGGGAGGGAGAAGGGCTGCCAGGCAGGCAGCGAACCCTGGGGACCCCAGCCCCTCTCCCTGTCACTGACCCTGTTCCTTAGGCACCCCCCTGGGGACCACAGGAGCGGTGCCAGGTCCCCAGAGTGCCAGGATGGGCTCCCGTTTGCCCTCTCCCCACCCCTCCTGCATTCACACATGCTCAGGGGAGGTGGCCTGAGGCCACCCTGGGGTCCCTTTCCTCTCTGTCCCTTCATTTGGACAGAGCTGGCCCCTGCAACAGAGCCGGGCAGTGGCCTCCTGTGTGAATTTACCTTTCCTCCTCCCCACTTTGTATTTACCAGAAGTTAATCTTTGGAGCCATTAGGAGGTGGCATTTTGTTTGACCTTGGTGTTCCCCAAGTCTTTGGCAGCTGCCCCCCACCACACCCCCCAGCCACCCCTGTCCTTCTGGTGTCTGTAGGAGCTTGGGGCACTGGGCAGGCATGTTCCCCTTGCCTGCACTGGAGACCGGGGGCTTTCTCCAGAAGAGACCAGGGAGGAGGGCGACAGGTTCAGGGGGCCTGAGCTGATGGGCGGTGGGGTGTGTGTGTGTGTGTGAGATCTTGGCAAGGGCAGGGGCAGGGGAAGGCAAGGCCTGCACAGAACAAGGCAGGCACTGGGGCGAGTCTGGCTCCTGGTCCTGTCTCCCTGAGTTCCCAGGCACCCAGAGAGTCGCTAACTGCTCATCATCTCATCTTGCTGCTGCCTGTTCTGTCGGTGGTCACAGGTTGCCCAGCCAAATTCACAGCCAACCCCAAATCTCTCTGGGGGAAATGCTTCCCAAATGTAATGTGACTAACGCAGGCCAAAAAAAGAAAAGAAAATCTTTACCTTATAAATGAAAGAATTTTACTTGGAGCCTATTTTAATAAACTAAAGTACTAAAAAAAAACACCCCACCAGTACCTGAGGCTTGGAAGGAAGTGTATACCGTTTCGTACATTACAAACCCCCCGCCGCTATTTCCCACCCCCCCAGTTTAGACCCTGCGTCTGCAGGAAACTTGGAGAGAAATCACTGTTTTAAATTAGTATGACAATAGTGGAAAGATGCAGTGTACAAGTTGGCAATAACAACCTTCAGAAACCGACAAATTCGTGTGTGAGCATTTGTATTGTAGCCCCCCGACTGCTGGAAACCAGCACAGGGGGGTTTCTGTATTCCAATCATGGATTTTCTGTTAAAATAGAGGAAAAAAAACTTTTCCAAAGGATTTTCCAACTTTCTGTTTGTTTGCCTGAAAGTCCATTTTTGTGGTTTAGAAACTTCACCCACTCAAGCATTAAACCTTTATAGTAACTTAATGAAACTGGTAAGCGATGGATGCGTGGAGTGAGGTAACTAGCGGTGGGGGGTCTGGATCTCGGACCTGCTCCTCTCCGTGACAGTCCCTGCGTCTGGACATGTTTTCACACGAGGGAGGCAGGACCTGGCACAGTCGCCTTTAGAGCCGCTTCTCGTTGTCCCAAAGGAATATTTTCTCAGAGCAAAGAGAGTGAGCTAAAATTGAAATAATAAACAGCAAGACAGGTTGTAGCAAGAATCATTAAAATAATTTTTCCCAGCAGGGGCACTGTGAACTTGACCATGGTTTCAAAAGCATGATGCGTGTGGGCACATGAAGGACCCTCTCTGGTGGGTCAGCCCGGGGGGGGGGGGTGGGATGGGGCTGCTGCCCAAGGCCAGCATCCTCACTGGGCACTTGGAGCCCCATCATGGTGGCCACCTCTCCATCCCCTTGTTGTGCCGGAAATAGCAAAGCCTTAGAAAATTCCGACCCATTTTTAAAATCAGCGTAAGCCTTTACAAACAAGTACCTCAGGTTATGATGGTCCGGCATTGCTATAATCCATCTCAACCTGAAAAAACACGTGGAAATGAGGTGCTCTGCACCTTCGGAGGGGAAGGGCCATGACACTTGCCAGAAGGCCAGGTTATTGGGAATTCTGTCTGTGGCCAAACAATGGCGGAGATTTTCGAGCGATTGAAAACCAAACAGCGTCATAATAAGATGAGTTATAATCTCCCCTGGAACACACTCGTCATCAGGAGAAGGGGCTTCCCCGTGCAGAGAGAAAAGGTTTGCGACGAAGACTCAACAATGTGTTGAAAGTATTTTTTAAAGTTTAGGAACCAGTGTTCTAAAATGTGCGCAGTGGGCTACAAGATAGGAGTTTAGGTTTCACACACGGATCAAAACATCCAGCGTGTTTATTTATGATGAACATAAGTGTTGCATTTTGGCCAGGCTGCCTGGGGATATTCATGTGCAACTTCAAATCTAGTTTCCTAAGTGTATACATTGCAATCAGTTGGCATTTGTCATTCAGGGAAATAACATTACGGTCATGACGGTGACTCTTCAGTGAAATGGGAGACTGCAGTCCGTCGTCATTCCGCCCACGGGAAAGCTGGGTAGAGCAACCAGTCATCTGCAGAAGTTCCTCTAGCGAGAGCTGAAACAGACCCCAGCTAGCCCCGGCGAGTTCCACGGCCCAACTCCGAAATGCACCTTCGTGTGTGCAAAGGAATGCACACAGGGTAGAGCGATGTCTTGGCCAAAAGACTCAAGGAAGGTGACCACAACACCTGCCCGGCGGCACAAAGGCGTAACACAGATGACACGTGAGGATGTTGGACACCTTTTACCGCCTTCTAGACCGGGGGGTTTCCAACGGGTGTGCTGCAAGAATTTGAAAACACCCAACACCTGACCGTGGAGCACTGACCATTTTCCCCTTCGATTGCCAAATAGAAAACAACAACAGCCAACACACTAGCCATCTGGTGTGAATGCCTGTTTTTTTGTCAGGTGGGCAAAAAAAAAATTGTTTTGTTATGCCACAGAGCTTTAGTAATTAGCTTACATGTGCCCTGAGATGAAAAGGGTTGAAAATCGCTGGCCTAGACACATTCCGGGGTCTGCCCGTCCCCAGGCCCCTAATGCGTCCCAGCCATCCATCACCAGTGGCCGGTGGCACCCCTCCACGCCCCAGTGGTCCAGCTGCCTGGGGCGACATTAACTCCTGCACCCAAGCCACCCGCTGGGCTCCTGGGACTGCACCTCACTTTGTCATGTGCACTCGCCCCTAGAAGCCTGGGGGCAGGGCGGGTGGGGGGCGGCGGGCTTCTGGAGTGAGTAGGATCACACCTCAAGGAAACCTTTCTGTGTCTGGATACCTGAGACCGTGGTGCTTAATTCCCTGTGCTTGTTTTGTGATCCCGAGTGGGACGGGGCCACCTCGTTCACGTCGCCTGCTTTGAGTTTTAAAGGTTTTGAAACCTGATAAAAAGAGTAAGTCACATGATATTTTTTAATTCGGGGAAGCTGAAAGCACTTCGGCTTGTTACTTAAACAATGTGAGGGAAGGAAGAAATGATAAGGGAAGAAGAACATTCAGAGACTCACCTGTCCTGCGAATCTTCCCTTTGAGATAATTAACAGATGATACTGTATTAGTTTCGGGTGCACACTGAAGCAATTTGACACGTGTTTGCAAGGTGAGACGATGGCCGCAGCAAGTCTGTTTACACCCATCACCACACCTACTCACACAATTGCTCTTTGCGCGTGATGAGAACTTTGGGGGTCTACGCCCTTGGCAACTTTCAAACACGCAGCACATTTTCATTCCCATGCTCACCACACTGCACGTTACATCCCCATGACTTACTTATCTTCTGGCTGGAGCTTCGTCCTTTTTAACCCTGTTACCGATTCCTAAGAGATCTTTCCCCGTACACTTTGTTGTGCTTATTTGCAGTGGCTTTAATTGTTTCTCCAGCGCCCTGGTTAGTGTATATAAGTCATGAGAGACATGTAAGAGACAGAAGAGGTAGACGGATCTACAGTGATACAATTTTATGATCACAGTTTTTCCATCGCTGGAAGGAAGGCTTCTTCGCTGCCAGGGTTGGTTTGAATGTGGAAGTTTGCTGGTACCCACACCACAGTTATGAGTTCACTGCAGGCACAAAATCGAAATGCGATCTGTAACAGGAGAGAGTCACACATTTTCAAGTAACTAGAATGATGGATGTTTCGGGATTCTTCAGACCTCTCAGGAAGGGCCCCTCGCTTCAGCTCAGGTTTCACTCGGGCTCAGTCACATAAGCTCCCCTGGGGGCCTGATGGGACTTCCACAGTCAAAAGGCTCTTAGCTGAGTGGGCGATGGCCAGCCCTCGCTGAACGCCATGTCCCGTTCACCATCCACCCGACCGGTTTCCACAAAAGCAGACCCCGTGCTGTGGGCATTCAGTGTGCACAGAATGTCAAGTGAACACACGGTCATGGTCAAGGCTATCGGATCCACGGTTTATTAACATGCTGTGAAGGAGCCTGAGGGGGTGTATTCAGGACCGTGCAGAGCTGCGGAGCTGAGGTTCGCCAGTTGAGGGCCAGGGACTCCATCAGCCGAAAGGAACCCAGCCCACAGGTGAACATCTGTAAAGTACACGTCTTAATATTTTTATGCCCTAGAAAGCAGGAGAAATAAAGATTGGATTATTCTGAAAGGAAGGAAGGGAGGGAGGGAGAGAGGGAAGGAAGGAGGGAGGGGCTCAGATGCACCAGACAGGCCCGGGGAGGGACGCCAATGACGGCCTGTCACCGGCACCGGCACCCGCTGCGGCACGCAGGGCTTTATGGACAAGGACGTCTGCCGGAAGCGCCCCCCAGGGAGGAGATCACTGACTTCGCTTTACAGCAGCAGAACCAGGGCTCCGAGAGGTGAAGTGACTTTCCCGAGCGGAGTGGGGTGCAGGGACCTGAGGTCAAACTAGTCAGACTCCCCAGGCGGTGGGTTTCTGGTGCAGGTAAGGGATGGAGGGGCGAGGACATGCCGTGTTCTCGTCCACTCTCCAGAACGGAGCCCACTGCGCCCCATTCCCGTAACACACTAGGCACAGGTAGAAGCGTGACTAATGGTGGACCCCAGACTCCATGGCGTTTGACACCTAGTCTCAGTCTGCTCCGGCCATTCCAAGAGAACACTGCAGACTCGGGGGCCAATGCCCAAGGGACATTCGCCTCCCAGTTCTGGAGACTGGAAGTCCGAGATCGGGCTGCCCGCACATTCGGTGTCTGGTGAGGGCCTGTGGCCTCAGAGACTGGTGCTCATGTTTTCCTGTTCACGTGGAAAAGGGTGAGGGAACTCAGTGGGGTCTCTAGTCCCACTCAGCAGGGCTCCACCTTCGCCCTGGCCATCAGGAGGTCGGCACACGGATTTGGGGAGGACACACTCGGGCCACAGCACCCCCTATGGAGTCATAATCCAAAATACTTCTTCTTTTCCACAAAAATCTATTCGTTTTTGTTTTTTGAGAACATGTATCCTTCGTCCACCTTTTTCTTTCTGATGAGCTGGCATCATTCAGAGAGGGAAAAAACACTAGCTTCTGCCCCGAGCACCCACGTGGGAGTCGAAGTACCCTGCTAGAAGCGGGACTGTACTGTGCAGAAATGACGCCGTAATAACACGGGCCCCTCTTCATCCTGGC